TCTCTGTCTCCGACTGGGTGAGCTGTCTGTCAGATAAATTCTTCACCCACTTTTCTGTCTCCCTGGCATGTAATTGACTACTGGAGTGTTGTCCTACACTGAATGTGTTGTTGGAATAGTGATGGTGTTGATGAGTTATTGGTAAGTTAAACTTGTTTTGTTGTCGAGTCTTGGACTTGACATGCTGTGCTAAGCGTGCCTGATCTGTACAGTCCAACACTTGCTGAAATGTGGTCTGATCTAGACACGTTGTTAGTTTCTGTTTAATGTGCTCTTCTTTGGACTTCAAGGCCTCAATAGTAAAATTGGTCTGTCTCACCTGTTTATTCTGCAGCTGGGTCTGTGCCTTCTGAAGGATCTTGCTTGCCCGGTGCCCGGTGCCCGCTGACCGACGATTTTAGTTCCAGGCTCTTGGGAACGATGCCACTTTGTCGACATCTGAGGTTGAATCGCGAATGGTTCCTGTAGTCTGCCCTCTTCCTTGCTGTTTTCTCAAACTCTCTAACTAGTTTGAGGCAATCCTGGCCAAAGTGGTTCAAAATATCCAGATTCATGCTCAATAATCCAGGTAGAAACATCTAAAAAAGGTTAATCTGGTCCTCTGGACATTCAAAAAACAAAACAAACAAACAAACAAAAAAATGTAGAAACTTTTCATCTTTCATCTGAAAGACTTCTTCAGTCTGAGGTGCTGTATTCAGCTCAGTTTTATAAATAGCACCTTCTCACAGTGGATCAACCAGTTTGCTGCTGACAACCAGAACCAGCTGCTCACATTGTCAAGAAGGACCATCAGCCTAACAATGGATCATTAGCACACTGATGGCTATTTAATATTCACAGGGGGCTGAGTGATATTAGCAATAACAGCATTGTAAGAGGGGGACAGTTGAACATGGAGGCTCCACCCCTGAAAGAGTGACCGCTGACCTGGAGATGAGTGTAGACCTCAGAACCCTGGCCTGATGTTATTGATCTTCTGTGCTGGTGCATCCTTTTGGCCAGTGGCTGTTTAGTTTCCCCGATGTAAGACTGATCACCGTCCTGACACTGAACAGCATACACAATATTACTCTGTTTGTGCCGGGGGACTGGATCTTTGAAACAGCCACTGGCCAAAAGGATGGACCAACACAGAAGATCAACATCATCAGGCCAGGACTCTGAGGTCTACACTCATCTCCAGGCCAGCAGTCACTCTTTCAGGGATGAAGATGTTCACATCCTGGACAGAGAGGAACGATGGTTTGAGAGAGGAGTAAAGGAGGCCATCTTTGTGAAAAGAAACCGTCCATCATTAAACAGGGGTGGAGCCTCCGGGTTCAACTGTCCCCCTCTTACAATGCTGTGATTGCTAGTATCACTCAGCCCTCTGTGAACAGTAAACAGCCATCAGGTGCTAATGATCCATTGTTAGGCTGATGGTCCTTCTTGAGCATGTGATCAGCTGGTTCTGGTTGTCAGCAGGAAACCGGTTGATCCACTCTGAGAAGGTGCTATTTAAGAGACTGAGCTGAATACAGCACCTCAGACTGAAGAAGTCTTCTGGATGGGAGACGAAACATTTCTACTTTTTTTTGTTTGTTTGTTTTGTTTTTTGAATGTCCAGAGGACCAGATGTAACATTTTGTATTATTTACATTTACAAATTGGAATCTATCAGATAAATATGATTTAAACCAATCGAGATCTGTTCCTGTAATTCCAACATCAGATTCAAGCCTCTATAATAGAAAATTATGATGAACTGTATCAAATGCAGCACTGAGGTCTAACAGGACCAGAGTAGACACCTGTCCATTGTCAGAGGTCATGAGAATATCATTAGTTACTTTCACCAGTGCAGATTCAGTGCTGTGGTGAGCTCTAAACCCTGATTGAAACTCCATCCATCCATTATCTTTTTACCCATTTCTTCCATTTTGGGTCACGGGGGTTGCCGGTACCCATGTCCAGCAATCACTGTGCGAGGGGCGGGGGGACACCCTAGATGGGTCGCAAGTCCATCACAGGGACACATAGAGACAAATGAGACAAACAACCATTCACTCTCTCACTCTCACCTAGGGACAATTTAGAGTTACCAATCAGCCTAACATGCATGTTTTTGGTCTGTGGGAGGAAACTGGAGCACCCGGAGAAAACCCACGCATGCACGGAGAGAACATGCAAACTCCACCCAGAAAGGCCCCTGGACCGGGGTTTGAACCAGGGGCCTGCTTGCTGAGAGGCAGCAGCTCTACCAGTTGCACCACCGTGCTGCCCCTGACTGAAACTCTTCAAATAAATTCTTTCTTTGTAGATGTTAACGTAACTGACCTGCAACTATTTTCTCTAGAAGTTTTTTTTTATCCAGAGAGCCCAACAAGACAAAAACAGTTCAAACATAAATCATCACATAAAATAATTTTATTTATAAAGAAGCTCATAAAGCCATCACTGCTTCTAGTTGTAGGGATACATTATTCAACAGAGAGAGGAATTTTCATTAGCTATGGTGCTGAAAATGAACCTGGAGTTACTTTTATTCTCATTAATTAAAGATGAATAATATAAAGTTCTAGTTTTACAGAGTGTTTTTTTTATATGTTAGCAGGATATCTCTTCACAATAAGTAAAATTCTTCAACATTAGTGGAGCGCCATTTTTTTTCCTAGCTTTCTAGATGCCTGCTTTAAAATACGTAACTCAGACTTGATCCAAGGAGCCAGCTTCCTCTGATTGATTACTTTGTTTTTCAGTGGACCATGTGTATCAAGGGAAGTTTGCAAAGAAGTTGTAAATTTATCAACCAGATCCAACATTTTTCAGTCAGGTCATCTGGACAGTTTTTTTTTCTTTCTTTTTTTGTGCTGAAACGTTTCACCTTCGATCCAGAAGGCTTCATCGGTCAAGGAAACGCACAACAAAACTGATTCTTCCCCCAACAGCTTACTCCAAAGTGGAACAAACCAGTTCTGCTTGTGATAAGATGGTCTCTTTGGTACGCCCCCTCCTCCATTGCCGGCCCTCTTCCTTGTTGACAGTCTTGTCAAACTAGTTGAAAACAACAAAGATTATTGAGCATGGATTTTGTTGTTATCAACCACATGATCTAAGTCACTGCTCTCTAATGCATTAAGCACCTGCTGAGATGAAATGAACTCTCAGTGACTGTGTAGCCATTTAATGTAAACTCAAAGGTTATTGAAAATGATCAGACAAATCAGGATTTTGAGGAAGTATTACTAATTCCTTAATTTCTATGCCATAAGTCAGAACCAGATCTTGAGTGTGATGATGAGAATGAGTAGATGTTCTGAAATTTTGGGTAAAACCAATTGACTCTATTCAATTATTAAAGGCTATGCTTGATCTAGCACTGTCAACATCTACAAGAATATTGAAATCACCCATTATTATGACTTTATCAGTATTTAGTAGTGAGTCAGTTAAGAATTGTGAGAATTCAGACAAAAAGTGAGCATAGGAGCCTGGTGGACGATTTATAACAACTAGTGACAGTGGCCGCTTCCTTTTCCATTTAGTATGAGATAGACTTAGAGACAGCGACTCAAAAGTATTATAACTAATAATTGGTTTAGTATTAATCAATAGTCCCAACTGAAAAATAGAAGCTACCCTCTGTAAATGTTGACATTTACTTTGTCCCAGTGCATTATGGGATGTCCCTGCTGGGTCAGTGTCCACTGATTCTACAATACTGTTGTTCATTATGGGATGTCATTGTTCATTATGGGATGTCATTGTTCATTATGGGATGTCACAGTTCATTATGGGATGTCATTGTTCATTATGGAATGTCACGGTTCATTAGGGAATGTCACGGTTCATTAGGGGATGTCATTGTTCATTATGGGATGTCATGGTTCATTATGGTATGTCATGGTTCATTATTGAATGTCATGGTTCATTATGGTATGTCATGGTTCATTATTGAATGTCACGGTTCATTATGGGATGCCATTGTTCATTAGGGAATGTCACGGTTCATTAGGGAATGTCACGGTTCATTAGGGGATGTCACGGTTCATTATGGGATGCCATTGTTCATTATTGAATGTCAT